TAATCCAGAATAAGACTAGAAATGCTAATATTGGCTTATGTCAGTGGTTTTTAAACTGTATTCTGCAACTCCACTTAGGGACCTCATGAGGATTCTTGAGGGATGCCATGGAGGACAGGCAAGGGCAATGAATTTCTCAGGGCTCTTCTACCCCTAAGTCAACTAGAGTAGTTTCTCTTAGGAGGGTATACTCCTATACCACGTGACCACGCATCTTTCTTTCCTGGGTAAGAGAGCCTGGCTCTCTTATGGGGCCTGGAGGGACTGGAGGCAGTAAGTTGTTTAAATATACTAGTCTTTCTGGAGTAGTCTGTGAGCCCCTTCAGAGTGGAGACCATGTCTTAGCTGTGCACTTATAACCAGTGCTGAATGGTTTTGAAATGAACAAGCAGAATTTAAACAGAAAGGATCAGGGAACCACACTAATATTACATACTAATAATAGGGAAGTTTTAGCTCAATGATTCCATTGCTGCTGACTCTACTGACATGTAACCATGAATACATAGAGTCACATGACGGCACATTTGATGTGGGTTTTGTTCTTATTCAGTTAAAAGAGGAGGTTAGCTCATTTGAATGGTTTCCGTCAGGCCTCATTTGTGGGTGCGAATACAGAAATGAATAACGGAGAGAATAATATTTGGAAAATTGCAATTTTACTAATTTATAAGAAATCTAATGATTGAATATCAGGATTAACCATGGAGTTATCGGAGGGGCAGAGGGGATTATAATTGGTAAAAAAAAAAAAAAGAAAAAGAGACCTTAACTAGATTAGTGACAAGCCTAGTTGCTTCCCTATTCTACACATTCAGGTATTTTTGCTTTGGTTTTCTTACAAAGTAGATGGTTATGGTAAGAAAAATAACAGGTTAATAACTCTTCCTAATACAAGAGTTTACATCTCTTGGCCACCTTACTATGAACATACTGACTTGGGAGTGTTTAGACAATGGGTTTTACTCTGAGCACGCTACCCTATACTCTGGGAACTTGGCCATAAAATATCTATAACCTTCCTTTGCCAACCACAATTTATCAAGATTTGAAAAATCACAAGCTCTGAGCTCCCAAAATGGTAGACTTCAATCTCTGGGGAGGACTCATGGTTTAAAAAAGAACATGGACTTTGGGACCAATGTATCTGAACTGTGTGTCCTGAGACTAACTGCTCAAACCTAGTCTGGCTCACTTTGCCAATGCCTTGTGGCCACCACGATCATCCTTGCTGGGTCCCTGTGAAGATGGCCTGAGATACTGTAAAGGAGGAGCACTGTGCAGAGGGGCCAGCAACAGCTCAGGCACTCGGAGAATGTTAGTTTCTGTTCTTCTTTTTAAGGGATGATCTATTTAGTGGGAGGGAGACAGAAACGTAATATGTGGTACTCAAGGAATGTATGGCAAAAGCCATCCCTATAAACGATACCTAGCTGTATCTAGCTGCGTAAGATACATATCTAGAAATGTATGACTCAAAATGCTGTGAGACTGGAGCAGAAAATGACTATGATTGGCAGCAAAGGAAGACTTCCTGGAAGAAGAATTTGAGTCAGAATTTTGAGAATGGGTGGCAATTAGATGGACAGAGAGAAGTGGAGAGGGCAGGCCAAGCCAGACAGATACTACTGAAAGTACATGGGGCAAATTCTGGTAATATGCACAGATTGGTCTTCTGGGGAAAGTTTTTGCATATTGGAATAACTAAACATAAGGCTTTTGGTAAACGGCTATGCATTTCACATGCTGGGCTACACAACTGGTCCTTATCTTGTAGACCAGGGAAAGTCAGTGAAGACTTCTGAGTAGGAAACAGCACAGCCAAATAGCATCATTTAGAAAGCTTCCACATATACCATGTTAACTCTAGAGTTACGACCTATGCTGCTGTGCAAAAAACCCCCCACCCTTTCACTATGCTAATACTTAGTAAGTCACTGAAGGCCTACTTCCAGAACTCCAAGGAAAAATTCTGTGAATCAAAAGCTAAGGACAATATGTTAACAATTAAATGAGATAACATAACAGCTGAGGCAGAACCACAGTTTTCCCCACCACGAATTCAAGCTGCTACACAAAAAGAAATGCTTACATCATCTTCCAAGTTATCAAGCCATTTAGTTTTGATTTTCAGGAGGCAGGGAAGGAGGAAACGAGGAGTGTGGAGGTCAGGAGGATCCAAAACTGTCTATTCTTTAATCAGAAGGAATTATAAAGAGAGACTGGAAGAAGATTTGTTCAAAACAGAACCAGCCCTGGGATGAGTTTCAAGTTTCTGCACCTCAATTCCACGGCAGAACAACAAAGGAAGGTGAGTAGCTGGGAGCAATCCTCTCACCAGCCCTTTCTTCCATGTTTCCGGTGCATACCTCCCACTGCTACTTTATTTACTGCAGCTGGCCAAGGTTTTATAGCCTGTTTCATGTATTAAATTCAAATGTGGAAAACATTACCAGTATCCTCCTTGATTTTTTGGGGGAAGGGCTATTGTTGGGGGGGAGGTGATTTTTTTTTTCTTTTGTTTCCCCTTAAACTTCCTTTTTATTGTGGAATGTATCAAGTGGTCAAAGGCTAACTTCAGACTGACTAAATTCAAAAACTATTTCCTTTGTTCTTATGTTTTTGTTTTAAAATTCATACCAGTTTGCGCTAGGGAAGACAGGCCATTCTCGCGTTTCATACACATGAGCGTTTCAGGCTGAAGAACTCGGATGCTGTGGACTTGCTGAATGGTTTTCAAGAAGAAAGGAGGAAGACAACAAGACCCCATTTGGTTCAAGGGCAGTGGGCTGACATGAACATCTTTGGAGTTAGACCACGGTTTGGCTGGCTCATCAGCAGCTGTCCCTGAGCACTGACAGCTCCAGAGGAGCGAAAGGAAATTGAGCAGCTTAAATTCCCACCCCCCAATATATGTTTTCCTTTTTCAAAATGTAATATTGGCCAATTATTGCACTTTTTTCAATAGCTCTGTTCTACTCTCTCTGTTTCCCCTTCTCTGGGGTCAGTTCAACTTCCCAACTCCAAAAATAATTCTAGATTTTTTCCTTCTAAACCAACTCAGAATCAGACTCAAAGAGGAGGCAATTCAAAGGTCAAATAGTTCCAAAAAGCATCTATGTATAGTTTAATATGTTAAAGAACTACTTAACCTACATCTGGTATTTAAGAACAAGCTACACATTTATGGAAAAGACAGTCTCTGAAGCAATGCCCTGGGTACATGTCGCATCCGGTTAACATGTGCAAAATGAACGCAGCTACAGAAATTAAACTATTTTTCTCTTGATTGAGAGCAGATACACAGAAATGGTTATAAGTCACAGATCTGGCTTTTAATAAAGCCAGATTTCTTAATTAAAAGCAGTATTGTTTAAACATTGTAGTTAGGGAAAAAAGAGCTCTATAAACGAAAATCTTGTATTATATGCATCCCAAGTGTATTTAACACATTACCTGAGGCCAAGCTAAATTAAAATCTAGACTTTTCTTTGGTAAACTGTTAGTAACTGCCATGAACAGACAAACAATTTTTACTCAATGATGAATTTTTAGGGTAGAGGTCAAGGAAAGGAAAAAAAAAAAGATTTACTTCTGGCATTCAAAAATATCTTTCCACATTTTAGAAGTGAGTTCATTGCTTCTACTTATAAGCCAGTATTTTTGGTTTCAGATTGTTTGCAGGTTTCAATATTATACTGTTTAGGAGGGTATTCTTACTCTTAGTCTTTATTGAGAGAAATTGAAAGAGGGAGAGAACACGATTGATCAAGAACATGAAGAGCTTTGCAATAGTCTGTACTTATTTTGCATTTCCGTTTGGAACCATCTGTGAATGAGATACTGCAGTGAAAATGGAAAATAGACTTTCATCTAAACAAGTTTTAAAAACCTAGAAGGGGCAAATCAAGATGCTAAAATGTTTACTGACCATGTAAGGAGCAGAATTGCACATAATCATTAATCCTGTTACATTCTTTACCCATTGGGTCAGCTCATTAAGGGTACCACAATATTTTTTTAAAGAGATTCTCTAAATCTTTGAAATCACCCAAATGAAAGGATACTCTCCAAAAAGTCTCTTCAAAGTAATAAGCCAAAAAGAAATTCTAGTTGTCATGTGGACAAATCTGCTTAATTATGATTTAAATGAACACTTATTCATAAATGAGTGGACAAACTATTCTACACATTCTATAGAGTTATATACAGTTCTACACCTTGTATGTACACAGACAAATATAACACATATTTGTAACTCCCCTACACAGGATTGAAAGACATTATTTTGGCTTCTTAAAAAAAATTCCCATTGTAAATATCAGTAATATAACATGAGCTTAAGTTGTATCCTTTGATCAAAGTCATCAAGATGAGTAATTTAAAACCCAATGACCCAGCAAGTTGCTCCTAGATAAATATTTAAGTGAAATGGAAACGTGTCCACACAAAGGCTGTATATGAATGTTTGTAGGACCATTATTCATACTAACTAAAGAGTAGAAGCAACCCAAGCATCCATCACCTGATAAATGAATAAATATAATGTGGTCTCACCACACTTGGCAGTAAGAACAAATGAAGCTCTGATATGTGGTGCAATGCAGATAAGGCTGGACAATATTATAGAATATGTGACGAACACATACAGTATTATTCCATTTATTTGAAATGCCCAGAATAGGCAAATCCATAGAGACAGAAATAGATTAGTGGTTACTGGGAGTAGGGGGTGTTAAGGAATGATTGTTTGATGGACACACGACTTTTTCTCTGTATAAGGGGTGAAAATAGTCTAATACGCTGTGGTGATAGCTGTGCAATGCTGTGAATATGCTAAAACACACCGAACTGGAAACTATAAATGGGGGAACTGTCTGCTAGATGAATTGTATACCAATGAATTTGCTGTTTTTTTTTTAAAAAAATAGTAGCTGTAGTATTTACATCTGAAATTCAAATTTTATATAACTACAGAGCCTATAAATTTCATCACTTACCATGAGTGAATGTCTGTTGGCGGAAAGAAGGCCGGTTCCATACCCTGAGCCCAGACCACCCATGGCTCCATTGTGAGAAGGTCCAATGATGCCGTGCATTTCCCCATGACTACCAGGCACACCTGTGGACGGGCCCACTGCATGGTTCCGAAGAACATGAATCGCATCGTCCAGCCTTTCTAGACGATCTTCGATCCGGCTTTGCTGTTGGGTAATAAACAATGTGAAATTTGATGTAGTTTGAAATGCACGCATAAGTTCTACAACTAAAATTTTTGAGTTGAGACAGACCACACTTTGGATTTCTGAATATGTGTTTTCAATAAAGTTTATTTCCTTAGAACAATAATAAAAATAAATAATGTCCTTTCTAGAAAAACTGGCAGAAAATGTTAATGTTAGAATTATAGTTTTATTTTTCATGAATAAAGTAAATTCAGTAAATCTTTGAGGAAATTTTTACATACATATGCTAGACTGGGCTGTGTTAGTTTGAGAGAGAATTCAGATTTACTGTAGAAGCAAAAACATTCATTGAATACAAGGAACATTCTGGCAGACATTGGTGAAAAAAGAGTTCAAAAGTTAGCATTGGAAAGATAATTTATTTATCATTTCTCAGTTAAATTATCTTCTTCAAGTCAAAGACAGGTAAAAGCATACGAATATCAATTTCTTGTTGAGATTTTAAGCTATGTTTCTTGCTTCTTGTCTATTACCATACCTGGTTGCATGTGTACATGTGTATATGTAAGGATCTCAAAATTATTACAGAAAAAAATTCTGTCACCCAAAGTAATATGAAACTTCTAGACTGAAGAATCATAAAGGCTTGAATTAACTGTTTACCAAGGACTTCTAATTCATCTCAAAGCCCCTACCACAGTATAGGATTCCCTACATGATGTAATAAAAAGCCAACCAATCTGATCTTTATTTTATCCTAACCGTTAGGACCCTCGTTTTCTTTAACTAGGTAATGCCGATGCTATAGTTTCCCAGGAAGAAAAAGAACATGCAGCTGTGTGGTCTTTTTTTATACTGTGGTCAGTAATGATATTAAGCATTATTCTTCAGGATACACTTTTAGATATACCACCTTACCAATCCTCATTCCACATGTATACTCCAGGCAAGGAAGACATGTAAAATGAGGCTTAAAGAAATTAACTGAATTAATTACTCCATGTCACACTGCCAGGAAATGACAGACAGGGTTGGAATCTGAGATTTTTCACTCAAATCTGGTGCTGCTTTGTACTAGATTGGGCTATGCTCTGCTTTGATTTCTGATATGCTGTATAGCTCTACTGCAGGAGAAAAACAATTTCTAATTTTTCTGTACTGACAAGAAGAATGTGTGTGTAACAGAGCACTTTGATTTAGTGGGTTTAGGAGTTATACAATGCCCCACCCTGAACTATTAGCCCCCTGCTACTTATTTAACCTAGGAAAAGTTACTAAACTCTGAGATTATGATTTTTAACTTATAAAAATGGGAATGACAGCATATACTTATAAGCATCAACGTAAGCATCAAAAGAAGTCATATATGTGCCTCTCATACTTCCTGGCAGAGAACTTATAAGCTGTGGTCCACAGCTATAAACAATCCTTTAGTTCTGTAGTTGGATATAGCCTGGTTTTGATGGATGGGCCCTGGAGAACAGTCCATGGAGGTAAACACTTAAAACAAATGCATTATTTGGATGCAGTGCACAGGTTAAGGGGCTTGGTGTACACGTCTCTCTGCGTGGTTGCCTTTATTCGCTAAAATGCATAGCTGGATGATTCACATCCTACAGTGAGGAAGGGCACAAGGAAGGAGGGGAATTCACCAGTTATTTTCACTTTTAGATTTTTTTCCTTTAAGAGTAACCTGAAAGGGAAGAAAGGAAATACTAAGTCAGATGAGAAATCAATGCCCTCTTCCGTGTTTCATCTCAAAATAGGGAGGAAGAAAGGCAAATTCAACCCTGAAAGGCTAATAGGCTTTCTGCCCCTGGTACCAGGCCTTCTAGTTTGACTCATGTACAGACCAAATACTACATGGCCTGGGGTTGTTTCCTGTGCATTTCCAGCCCCAGACATCATGATTTGAGGGAGATGTGTATAAGACACTGAATCATGATGTGAATACTTAAAATGTGAATTATACTCATAAAAATGCTCAGTCATTTCCCCCTGGAAGAGTGGGCACTCCTTTGCCAGTAAATGTAGTACTGGATTCCTATAAGAGCTGCAGTGCATGAGAACATAAAGGGGAGGACTCCTGTTCCAAGGTTAAGAGGAAACCACCTTTGTTCACCTGTTATTCTGGAAAGCGAAGCAGCGGTAGACAGAATCTTCAAGTGTTCCAGCTATACACCTGAGTTGGAACTCCAGCACTTGGTGTCAGGGAATTTAATCACTGACAGAGGTCTTTCCCAAAGAGGGGTTGGGATGGGGAGAATTAGCCTTCTGGGATTTTAACCTTTTATCTGCTCCTAGAATATCTATAGCCCTGGGTCTTCCATTCTGGCGGCATCCATGGCACCATTTATAAACAGAAGCAAGAGCAGTCTAATGACTCTGGTTCCAACAAGCTGGTGTGCTTAAGATTAACCTTAAGTTATGCCTAGTGAAAATAAGAGTCTTAGAGAGTGAAAGTAGATGAGCAAAGAAAAACCTGATCTGAAAATGGCTAGAGATAAGCAAATGAGACATACCAAAGAATGTAAGGGTCCTTCATAATTGGGAGATGATGAGGCCTGTCCTCCATTTCTAGACCAAACAGCTGTGCCTGCTGATATTAAAATGAGAATTACAATTAGAGATTAAACTCACTGATACTTTTTTTTAAAAAAGAGTCCTTTTAGAAATAGCAATGATAATTTTCACTTAAGCAATAAAGTAAATACATGTAAACTTCCCAGATCAGAATTGTGGGGCAAGAAAACATTTGAAATGTCAAATCTATAGAAGTGACATGGACTCACATTCCCTCAGGATGCTTCCTAAAAGAGAACATTTAATTGAGTCCAAGTTTCAGCTAGCAGAGCTCCAGGAGGAGGAAAATTGTCACTGTACAGTCAAGGTACTTCTTAAGAATATAAAGGAGGAAGGTGATCAGGTATTTGTGTAAGGCTAGTTTATGTTCAACCAAAATTCCCTCATCAATGGAAAACAACTTTGCTACTTGTTCAATGCCCCTGATGCTGGGGACTGAACCCAGGCCCTTGCACATACTATGCCTATGCTCTACCAATCGTCTTCTTAGAAAAATTTTTAAAGAGAATAAGACTAGTTAGCAGCAATCCAGTAAACCAAAAGTTAGAAAAAATTCCATGTAACAGTAAGAACTGCGAGTTTCTTCCAAAGAAATTAACTTTTTTGTGATGCACTAAACTTGGTGGTAAAAAAGGATTCCTATTAGAATATAGAAATCCACAGAATATTCTATGTCTAACCTACAATACAAAACCCAATTTTAAATTTAAACCAATTTTCAAATTTTACATTTAGTGTAGAAAGCTTAGAAAATCCATAATTTAAAAAAGGAAAAAAAAATAATAGCTACGAGATCACAAAATCTCATGCCCTGAGGCTGTTAGCAATTTAAAAATCCATTCTTCCAGCCTTTTTTGGGTATGCCTGTGTATTTTTGTGCTAAATAAAAATAGAATATTTTGTTCAATTACTTTTCTTGACAGAATTTGGACAGAGTCGTCAGTGTGAAAATAGCAATCTGTCCTCTTATTTATATCTTCATAAAAGTTCTTTCTTCCTAACACGTGGTCTTCCAGAATGCATTACCGAGCCTCAGTGGCATCACCGGCCTTGTATCTGAGCCTTCCACCTAGAGCAGGCTGCTCAGGGCGAGGTGTCTGCACTATTTCCCTGAATGGCTGTGCATCCTCTCCCATCCCAGCCTAACAGAGGAGCAGAAGGATGGCGAGTACCAGATTCTCTTCCAATCTCTAGTATTACTGCTGGAGTAATGTCTGCAAGTCACCTACCCTTCCTGGGCCTCAGTATGCTTCTCTGTGAAATCAGTGTATCAGACCACAGAATGAACTGCTTCGTTTAAAGTGGGGAGCAGGGTTTTCCAATTGTTTAAATGTTCTCCCCTCTGTCTCAAGTCCCTTTACCCAATTTTTCACTGGTTGTGGTCACTGATGCTCAAGATAATTTTTTCAGAGCCTAAAAATCTGCTGCTAAAGCACAGCAGCACAATAAGCACTAAACTTCACTTTCCTTTTGTGCCACAGAGGATGCTTCATGATCCTGTCAAAATCATGTCTATTTCTTCCTAGTTTCAACTCATTTCTCTGGACTTTAGGATCCAGCCAGCCCTCCCTCATTCTCTTCTGGGACCCACCAAAATCATAGGAACTAGAAGTGAGCTGATGTGAAATCCCACCTAAGTCATAGTCATCACTTCTGAAAGTTTTGTAGTAAACTGAAACCTCCTATTCTTTAACAGGGGACTCAGTTTGTAACGAGCCACTTGAGAACTGCAGGCAGCAAAAAATTTAAGGATTCGAGGACACGACATTTAGGCAAGTAACTTCACTATAAATTACAGTAAGGTCAGGTTTCAGTCAGGTACATAGTGATTTAATTTTGTTTGCAAGCTACCTGTTTTCTATCCAAAGAGGGGGCTTTCTGGAAACATTCATATGGGAAAGACAGTAAGTCTCTTAAATGCACCTCTGAAAAGTGAAATTGTTTACTGATATAATTCTACAACTTCTAATTATTTAATATGAAGCCACAGGTCATATCAATTTGCTATATTTTAAAGGCAAACATTCCTTTTACTCCACACAATTACTTCACAACTTCCTCCAACGTTCCCATAGCAAACACTTTCAAGAATTTACAAAGACCAAAATATCTGCAGGAAATGATTCCTTTATACAGTTTGATGACTAGGTAGTCTATTCTCACATTCATGACTATATGTACTTTCATTTCAGGTTTTTTCCCTTTTGTTTTTGAGACAGGGTCTTACTATGTAGTTCAGATTGGCCTCGAATTAGCCTCTGCCTCCTGCCTTAGCCTCTTGTGTACTGGAATTACAGCCATACACTACCATGCCTGGCAACTGAAATGTTTTATTGGAATATATTGTTCTACTCTTTGTTGTCTGTTGCAGAGCTAAGAAAAGTTTCAGAAATAATATTTTTCATATGCTTGTATATTTTAAAAAGATCATCTAATTTTTAAGAAAAATTATGGATGGGAACGTACTATCATATTGTAATCTCTCTTCTGCCCCATTCTATTTATTTGCATGAGAATGTCATGTTTTGGGACTGGTGCAGATGGAGTCTATTGACTACAGCAGGAAGCACAAGAGGGAAACCATTTTTATAAACTGTTACTATAAGGAAATGAGATTTTGAATACAGTACCTGAGAGAGAAGGAGGAGAGCCAACAGGAGTTGAGGGGTTTGATGAAAAGCTGTTGTTAGTGTGATCTGGAGAATAGATCTTGACATAGTGGGGAGAAAAAAGATCCCTCATTTATTAGGAATAAACAAGTAACAATTTTTTAAACAACACTGCTACCACTGTGATTCATGTAAAACTTCTGAGTTACAAAATACATGCAACAACCAACTATAGTACCAATAATCTAAAATGAAAAAGTTAACCATTACTTTTTCAAAAGAATTACTCAAGTCATGTGGGGTGCTGGGAAAAGAAATGGGGTAAGCAGACACCACATCTAGCTTTTTTTCCACTAATAACTGGCTGCATGGCCACGTGCAAGGCCTGGAGACACTGTTTCCAACTCCTCCTTCTCCTCTACAAAACGGGAGGCCACAGCATCTTTTCTAAGATGTTCCCACTCAACTCCTTTACTGTAATTAGGACACTGGATTCCAGAGTGTGAGACGGCCAAGATTAAGGAAACACTTTTCTTCAAAACATAACGCTAATATAAGCTGAATTTATTTTATACTCTCAATGGTAAGAAAATGTCAGTTATAGTCCCTTAGATGAATAAGGTATGCCATTTTGTCACTTGGGAGCATATGGGAAATATTCAGTTCTAGCTGCTTGGCAGAGGGTGGGAAAGGCAGAGCTGAACCCCTCAGGTACCAACAATGTGACAATTTCTCATAGGCCTCAGCTACTGTAGTTTTTTTTTCCTCTCACTGAATTCCTTTTCCAAACTGTGTAAGAACTGACTCTTGCAAAGTCAGTCTTAGCTGGGTCAATGGGCATCCATATTACTTTAAAAAACGTGCATAGAAAAGTTATAAACAAAAAGATACAAGATGGAAGAGACTAGCCATACATTGGCTGCAAATCAGCTTTCTCCTTGGATCTTCCAGTGTTCGTTATGCAAGAAAGCTAGCATTTTTCCAAAAAAAAAAAAAATCAAAGCTATTTGCCATTCATTTTCTAAAATTCTAAATGTCCACTTCTGATTAAAGTTCACCCCATTACAATGGAGCGTATGGAGTCCAAAGTCAATATTTCCTCACCGAAGCAAGTGCTTTCCCCAGAGCGTCTCCAGTCTGTGAGCTGCCTGCTGCCCCGCTTCCTCTGTTTGCTGGAAAAACAAAAGGCAGAATATGAAAACCAGGCAATGAGACGTCTAACAATTTTCTATTCCTGGTCCATTTACTCACAATTTAATTGCATTTTTAATGCTAATTACAACACATTAATCTTTAATTAGCATTAATTTGTTTGCTGAGGTAGATGTCAAATATAGTCATGTTACACTCTTTACAGATAAAATATAAACCTGACACCTTGGTTTAAAGACAAAGTATTTTAGTTGCCATTTTTCTCCCTTGTTGCTGATGAGTAGTTAGTTATTGGTGGCTGATGGCAAGCCAGCACATGGCTGTCATTGCTAAGAAGTGTAGGACTTTCTGGACTTACAAGTCCTTAAAGGCCAGCTTTTCTTTATATTTTTATCTCAAATTGACTTACCATCATGAATAATTTACATCTGTTTTCAAATAAAGAAAAAATGATACACAGGAAAATGAGATATTCCCCTTAGTGTTCCACAGTGACTAAAACAAGATAAGAAAAAATCTACAACTGGGCTGGCTAATAAGGGGAGAAAATATTTTTGATATTTTAAGTAACATTTCCCACAAATTTAAGTCTGTGTTCACACTAGAAAACTTTGAATGTTATGCTACTCAAAATTAATATGGTTGCAAATTTCAAAGATGAAACAGGTCCACAAAATTCATGAAGATTATCCCTACTACCTTAAGCACTGCTATTTTTATCTATAATAAATAAACAAAGGGTATTATTAACAAAAGGCATGAATTCCAGTATATAATAAAGCTAGCTCTATTTATCATATATCTCTCTTAAAAGCAACTTGCCTTTATAACCAAGTGGTAAAATGGTATAGTCACTACTCTTCTGAGCCCTTCAGTATTAAAACAGTGCCTGGAACTTGGGGAACACTGAATTCATGAAGGCTATCATAGCCGAACTTAAGCTAGTCAACTGGCACAATACTTAAATAAAACCTATCCAAATTTTACTATTTCGTAAAATGAGAAAAAGAAATCTTGGATTAACTGAAGAATCCAAGCAAGATTTTCATTGCACACTTGTGCAATTAAAAAAACTTCCCAGCCCTCTTCTTGAGCAGGAATCTGAGCCCCTTTGCTGGCCAACTTCCATGATCACCTTTTGCACCTATAACAAGCAGTGATGTCGTCAGTAGCCAAGGTCTCTGCTTTTCTAGGTCCTAATTTCATTCTCATGACTCTGCTTAGCATAGTTAAGCTATCTGTTGTTTTTATATATTTATATGCTGGCCATGTCAGATCATCTTTTGATATATACATATTCATTTCTTAATTACTAAAATACTGACAGAAAATTGGTATCTGATAAAACAACTACCCTCTAAGAAAATAAATCTTCTCCATTTTGCAAATTTATATTAAAATACATGAGTTACTACCAATCAAGATTAGAGGTATAAGGAAAGTCTCTAAAATTAGGGTGTGATATAATAGAATTTGGCTAGTAGAAACAATGTGGACAGATAACAAACATTAAAATACTTAATATAAGATATAAGGTAACTGAAAGTGTACTGTGAAAATAAGAATTTCTGCACTAAAGAGTTTCAAAACTAAAGACAAGTCTAAAAAGAATATAGCAAAAATTTGAAGACACAGACATCACTAATACTTTTTCAATATTCATTACGATGGCATCTGGTGAGCAATGACTTTTTTTCTAAAGGCAGTATTATCTTTTCCTTCTCATATACTTGAAAATTACAGTTCACACTCAAAATGATTATGATATGTTTGATTTGAACATGGATCTCCAAGAAGTGAAAGTTCAAAGCCACAATGGCAAAATAAACAAATAAACAAACAAATAAAATAACCTCATCTAATAAAGAACCTAAATAAAAAGAAAAGGGGCTGGAGGTGTGGCTCAAGTGGTACAGTGCCTGTTTTGCAAGCATGAGGACCTGAGTTCAAACCCCAGTTGCACAAAACAAAAAAAAAAGAGAGAGAGAGAAAGAACAAAGTATCATTTCAATTAAAGATAAAAATTTGCTATAGTAGTAGTGGCTTTCAGAACAGTAATTCTTCCTTTGAACTATTTTTAAGGGATTATAAATTTTAAAATACACATTTAATTAAAGTATATATTTTCACTATCTATTGAAAGCCAATAAAATATTTTAAGACCATTTACAAAGTAAATTATGTATCACATAACAAGCTACTTTCGAAAAGACAAGATAGCTTTATTATGGTTTTTTTCTCTTTTTAAAGCACTACACCTTCCTAACTAAGCTTTCTATTAGTGTCTGTTTTATACAGAGAGATATTAAGACTCAGGAAGTAGCATCAAAAATAGAATCAACTGCTTACCTCATCTTGTCAGGAAAATGTTTCAGAAAACTACAAAGGGTACTCATGGAAGCTAGTGATAAGAACAGACTATTTTTTAACATGAAGCCATGTTACCTTGCAACAGCTGGACAGCCAAACCCAAAGGCTTAAATTTCAAAGTGGTTTACTGGGACCAGTGTACCCTTTCACTTGGAATGCCTTTTGTTCTGTTCCAGGAGATACTGAAGGGGACACGTTTTCAAGATTCCCTCAACATGTTAAGGGAGGTGGACCCTTCTCTCAAAGACTCCTCTTTTTTATTTGCGAGACGATACATCAAAGGGTACAGAGAATCAAAAGGAGATATATTTTTAATTCTCAAGTGGCATGTTTCCCTTTTTTTTTCTTCTGCATTGAGAAATGGGTCATGTTTAGCAAAAACATGTATCAAATCCACCTTTCCAAAAGCTTTAATATATCAGGACTTGATTACTCTACCAGGCTCAAGTTGTTTAATTATTAGAAATGACCAAAAAGCCCACGTAATGGAAATAAAGATGAAAACAACTGCCTTTACTTACTAAAGACTGTACCAACTTCTTGTGCTATTTTGGTTCTAATCAATTTCTCTTGCTCAAGAGAAAAAAATAATTAGCCTTTAAGTAGAGTTGTAACATAAATATGAGTGGCAGATGGACAGTTCTTAAGAGGCACTGTAATTTTGTAGGAGGATTCCACCCTGCCAGCCACCCAAGTATTGTTCCGAGGGCTTGAACACAGGTGCTATTTCTGGCAGGTTTCTTGTTGTGGGCTACATGTTGGACCACCCTGAGCTCTGCTCTGCTTTGGGGAGACAGTGAGCCCATCAGAACACACCCAAAACAGAACGCCAGGATGAGTGGTGCCTGGGGATCAACCCTGACACTAAGATTTGGGAAAATGTTTCTTCTTTGTTGCACACCCATAACCTGAGGCAGGGAACATCATGAAGACATCAAAGGAGTAAGAAGTGCAATGCATAGTGTGTTTGCCTGAGAAAGGACAACAGTTTCAAGATGAGGTTTGTCTGAACTGAGTCTGGGTGACCCTCATGTTATTAAACTATCAAAAGAAGCATACTTGTCTATAAAGATGACTAAAAAGGGACATTTCCAGTGCCCCACTACGACGCTTAGAATTAAAATTCACATACAGGCTGAATGCACTACAGCTTTGTAGGAAGGACACCAAGGCATTCAGAGTTGGGAAAGCTGAGCCTCCTGACCATGTGCAGGAAATAATGGAGAAGACGTAAATCAAGCTCATTTATTGCTCTCTATTGGTGGTCTTTGTAACTATGATACCCTGACGCCGAAACTCCTCTAATTGTTATGCTCTGTGCCTGGTCATCACTCAAATGTATTTAAAGGCTCAAGTTCACTGTCAAATACAAAATGAGTATTTTGTGACTACCTCTAACAATAAAATTACTGAGAAACAAAGTCCTCAAGGGAAAAGGGAAATAATGTTTCTACCTGAAAGCCACATCTTAAAATGCATCGTGTCATACAAATACGCCATTAGGACAAAAAGTTGCAAGCCAGATTAACTCATGAACCAGATAGATATTCCAGAGTAATCTTTAGTATATGGCATATCAAATCAATTTTGATAGTCTGTTCCTTCAAACTACTTGGTTTGAGGTTTAAAAACATGAGAAATATAATATATTAGAAAGCTGGCCAGTTAAAGACTCATAAAACAATGGTAGTTATTATAACCATTATGTTAGTTATATGCCCAGTTTCCTCTGAAGGGAAGGGTGTGTAGCTGCAAACCTCGGGGGTACACTGTGTGAATGCATACATATGGCAACTCCCAATGAGAGCTGAAAGCTCCAGCCTTGAGTAGGCTTCCTGGCCTATGAAATGGAAGAAGGATCTCTCACTCCTTCTGACCCCAAAGGGCTACTGATCTGTATTGCTGCACATAGGAAAGAAATAAGTGGACAGCAAAATGTAATGGTTATTTATCCTGTAGACATCTCTTCTTTCTAGCTGGCACTTAATGACTCCTTCCTCTGTGTGCATGCTTAGATGCAGAGGTACTGGATTATACTGCTTTTGAGACATACCAGCTGCTGAACGGTGAGAGGTTTTAAGTACCAATGATGCTGGTTACTGCCAAAGATTCCTGGTAGCTTCTCACCTTAACTGGGCACTATATTAGTTAATTTATTGTCAATCCATCCTATCTTTTATCTTTTTATTTTATAAAATTCTAGGGTGTTTAAGAGCCCCTTCAAAAATGCCTAATGTCCAGAGTTTGCTAACAAGGCTTGAGAAAACAGTAATGAACCATATGCCATAAATAAAATAGTTTTACTGTGAATGAATGTGTCCTTTAAAAAAATTCTCTCATCAATTCAACCTAAGTTTTATCATTCCTAAGGGTTTTTCCAAAACTTACACTGGGTATGAAAGGGCAAAAGAAAATAAATTAAAAAAAAAAAAAGGTTACTTCTTTAACCAAACAAATAACAAAGCCACCAAAACTTATTGATTACTTTCCATATTTAAGATGCAGAAGACAAGAAACAAGACTGAGGCTCCTGAGAGGTTGTCTCCTGATGGCTCTAAAGCTTGCATCTCACTCCACAAGCACTGTGTTGTTTTATCTTCAGTTCAGAAGAGTTGCTGCCCACTAAGAAGACGTATTATCACATAAGACTGAGACACAGGGCAGTGGTCTTCTGAAGTGAAAGGCAGCCTCCTCAGACATGAATGCTATGTATGTATGAAAAGATTGCACTGCCTTGCAACTTTTCACCAAAAAATTTGAAAAATACTATGTCATGTGTGAGTGCTTGAATCTCATTCTTAACGGCATTAGTACAGCTTACAGTTATTTTCTACAATCATGTGTATAATCTCAAACATGTGTAGCTATGTGTTCCCTATTTACCAATTATTTAATTAGCTCTGTTTGTTCTTTCCCTATTTAACACAGGGCAGTGGTCTTCTGAAGTGAAAGGCAGCCTCCTCAGACATGAATGCTATGTATGTATGAAAAGATTGCACTGCCTTGCAACTTTTCACCAAAAAATATTTGAAAAATACTATGTCCATGTGTGAGTGCTTGAATCTCATTCTTAACGGCATTAGTACAGCTTACAGTTATTTTCTACAGAATCATGTGTATAATCTCAAACATGTGTCAGGCTATGTGTTCCCTATTTACCAATTATTTAATTAGCTCTGTTTGTTCTTTGAGATACAGGCAACATAGTATTTCTTTATTTCCTGTGTTTCAGAATGAGTGAGTATATGCCAAATATTTTCAAAAGGCTACATACGTATCCCATTAATACATACTGTTTGTTAGAGAAGTATCAGTAACATCAGAAGAGAAAGCTTCTCTTCTTGCTAAGTAGACATGCTGCCATCTCTGACTTCTACCACACGCTGAAGACTAAACCAAAGCCTAAGAGAATTTAAGTGTAAAGCAATATGAGCCACTGGGACACCATTGGGCTAATTATCATACCTAAGGAGCTGGAGGACAGGTTTTATTTAAGAGAGGACATCCTCAAATGTTCTAGAATGTTCTCCTTTAAAGTAACCTTAAAGTAATTTCTGTATTTATGCAATTAATCTGTTCTTCCAAAAAGCTGAATTACCATGTTTATTTACTTCCTGAAAAATTTTGAAGCTTTTTTTACATTCTGCTAATTCTTGTCAAGTATACTAATTATTGTGAAGCAATTTATGAAATAAATTTTCTGTGTCCTAAAAATCTCATACTTTCCTCTTTTTAAGTTGGAGTTCATTATTGTCTAGACTTTTAAGCAGTCCTATGATCTGCCTTTAGCATGGCTGAGCCCTTCCCATGTAGAGGTCATCTATTGCTCCGCTCTATCCAGACCTTGTCAGTGGACTGTCCTGTTCATCCACAAGCTAATGATGACATGGCCAACTTAAGCCAAGCAAATCTCTTTGCCATTGAGTCTGGTGGCTAAACGCCCACCATTCATGATTTATATCACAAGATGTCTGCCTTTCATCCCAAGTCACAGTGCCTTTCTCCCAGGAAGATTGCAAATCAATCTGTAATTCTTTTTCAAAGAGTGCCTAAGTGTGGTTTCCTCAACTCAAGGGTCTGCTCCACCTTTATACCTTCCTTAAAAAGAAAATTACTCAGAACACAAGTAGACGGGAAATCTGTCATGTAAGAGGATGAATGACCGGTCATCCTTCTTTGTAACCAGACCGCATGACTGCAAAAAGGGGCTTTCCATTTGTCAAACCGCACTGAAGTGAAATATGCTTTTCTCACTCTTTCAGTTCTGCACTTTTCTTTCTTCTTGTTTTTCAAATCTGCCAAAACTGCATTGATAGCTAACAAAACTTCCCCATGTGACCTCTGTCCATAGGTTTCCAAGGTCAAACTTAGAGGTTTCATTATAAAAAGTTACAGAAATGGAAACTGTTTCCTAAATTTGCGTCTCAGTGAGACACGCTAGGGGAGGGCTACAAGGTGGTTCATCTCAAGTGTGAAATAAATTATGAATAAGCACAGAGGGTATTATTTAGGCAGAAATTATATTTGCAACATTTCAAAACACATCTCCCTCATCAAAACCTCTCCCACATAAGTGATTCACACCACTTCCCGAAGTTCAAAGAAAAGGGAAAATAATTACAAAAAGCTAGGAAGAATAAACAGAAGCATTATGCTGGCACATGATGTTCTCTCAAAAGCATACACCCTGAGTCTTCTCATCAGTGACTTTCTGGGAGTGTGTGGATTTGAACCAGAACCAGAGTGGGTGGTGACCAGTGAATTCTGAAGTTTTATAAAGACCCTGGAGCATCCAGACATGCTGCTTATCTGAATGAGAAACATGTCAAGGAAAATTCAGAAGTGGAAACTGCTTCCCCACCAACCAGCTTCTCTACTCCAGGGGCACTGAGACATCCTGCCTAGTCTCCCCTCAGGAGGAGAACGAGAGGACCTTAAGAGAGCAAACACTCTCCTCAAGGGCTCTATAATGTTGCATCCTCTAGAAGATCAAGCTCACCTAGCTGTTAATAGTCACTTGAGAATTTCATATGAACTAGTCTTGGGAAGACAGTGGTTAAGAGGTTAGCACAGTGACTGGTATTTGGGAAATGATTAATAACAACTATTAAGACTATTTTGCCCCTTACCTTACCCATCTTCCATAGCTGGTCTTATGAAAAGTTTACTTTGTTCATTTTTTGAGAATATGAGAAGCAAGTAAGTTTGGGTCTTTAAAAAATCCTTGCTTAATGACTCATCATGGGCAAAGTAGTCAAATTTTAGTTTCTTGTGACTAAAAAAATGATTATGGTCAAGCCAGTGATTATTTCTGTTAGGTTCATTTGTTTGTTCACTCATTTATGTGACAAACATTTATTGCCTAGTTGCTATTCAGTTATGAGGTCTTCACTGTTAAACCCTGCCATTGATTACTGGCACCAGAGTGGGCATGTGTATGACTTACCCATTATACTGTCTGTCCCGTTGGCAGGAGGCGTGCAGGAAGAGGTGCTGTAATGGTTTGTGCCACTGCGATGGAAAGTGGACATCGGAGGAAGACTGGAATTGATGTCTGCTGAGGAGTGTGATGGATAGCTCTATAGCAAGAGGCAGAAAAAGGAGGCCATATTCAATCACAAAATAGTTACTGAGTTTCTTTTCTAATACTTCTTTCAGAACTCTCTATTCTGCAAGGGAGACAGCTTTTAGAATTTCAAAATAGCCAAGAATACATCTTGCCTAGATTTGACAGCTTTCATTTTTCAAATAATAAAACACACACATAGTTGGTTTGGGTTTGCATCAAATGTAGAGAATATAATAGCAATGTAAGATTGAGAAATGATCATCTCTAAATCTACAAATTACTTGTTAAAATTATCTTCAAGCTGTTTTTCTTTTCAAGGTAAAAAGTAGCTTAAGAAGTTACTCTCTTAGACATCTGAATGGCTTACGGATATGTAAGAGCAAAACATTTAAGATAAAAATTTTCCGCATAGGTGATATATTAATGGGGTATAGTCTTTATTTTACCATTTTAATTTGCTTAATTTCTAATTGGATGATGCTGATACTGAGAGGCTCTTAAAGATCAACCATTTGTTCAACCATTTGTAGGACTGGTTTCCTAGTGCTACCATACTGATTTTGTGAAAACCAAGTTGGACCCTTCCCACTTCCAACTCTTCCACCATCTCTTCTCCAAGTCCATAATACACATGCATTCTGTCCTGTGCCATTTAATGCTCAATGGTGTGTTGCCTTTTACTTCTGGCTCTTTCAGATCCATTTCTACCCACACTGTAAGCTCTCTATGGGAGGGAATGGGGCTCACCTCTGTATGTCATGACTTGTGGGTGAGCAGGGAACACACAAATGAAACACTATGCTCAATGAACAGTTCGTTACAGGTTACGGTTTGATAAACAATGAGTTGAAATATGACTCATTTGAGAGACAACTAAACAGCATAGGAAATGAGTCTACATTTCAGGACTGGGACTGCCAAGGACACATACAGATGTGTCTGAAAATATTACCTCCACACACCTAGAATAGTCCAACTTAAGAGACTTGATTGAAAAAGTGGAGATGATATGCTTAAACCTTTCCAAGTTCCTGAAAATACCTGTCAGATATACATTTCATGAATCTCTTTCCTGGACCCAAAATTTTCTTAGGCCACTCATTAAACTCATTTCTACTTGTCAATTCCCAACTTGTCCATGCAATTTTCTCTAGAGAATAATGGAGTGGGCCCATTTCACAGTACAACTAATCTGAGAGACTGTATAGGCCATAGGACACTAAACTTAGAAGAGCAGAGATAGAGCTGTTTCTCCTTTACAGCTAATGCTATAATAAAGTGAAAGAAAAAAATGAAACAATTTGGAAAAGGAAAAAACAAAACAAAGCAAAACAAAAAACCAAGATGGTGTGAATTCAATTCTGTACAGTATTACTCCTTGCTGAGTTTCTGGATAATAGACAAACTATAAATTGGTCCAAGGTATGCAAAAAATAAAAAAGAGGAACAGAACTATGCAAAAATATTTAAATTAGTAAAATATGGAGAACCTGAGACAGGAAAAACATAATCATATCATTAAGACTTTTTGAACCCTTTTATATTTATGTAAAATGGGCAATAATTTAGTATATGACACACAAAGGGTGAATACTGAGGGCAAAGAATAAAAAGAAAACTAAATCCCTATAGATTTTAATGAGGGAGTCAAGGCAATCCATTTTAAGTTAGCAATTTTCAGAAACTCATAGAAAAGTAGATACTAAAAAATTAATGAAATTTATAACTAGATTGCTTTTCAATGGAAAGTATCTTTAAAACTACTGTCACTCAGACATAATAAATACACTACAGAGAACATTAATGATATGTGAATAGTGTCTCTTCTAGAGGATTTAGGGATCAACTAAGAGGTGCGCTTAGTCTCTTACTCCAGCTATTACTGTCTTACTTGTTATGAAGGCACAGAGTGTGTGTGATCAAGTGAAGTGTCATGGCTTTCCATGCCCACTATTGGTTTATTTCTTATTTCTGAAATTTAATAGTAGTATATTTATAGTCTATTGACATGGCAAGTACTGCAAATGTTTGCACTGGTGATTTAACTGATCTATGGATTAATTATTTAATGATTAGAAAAATATAGTAACTGGTATATATACTGAGAATAAAATCATACTTTGGCATAAGGTAGGCTTTTACCCTCTTGGCATTATCGATTGTCAATGCCAGACACTTTTTTGCTGTGTGTGTGTGGTGTGTGTGTGTGTGTGTGGAGGGGGCTCTCCTGTATGTGTTTATAGCATTTCTGGCCTCTACTCACTAGATTCCAGTAGCATCTACCTCTTGTTACAACAATATGTCTCCAGACATTGCCAAATGGTCCCTGAGGGGGAGAAATCCCCCAGTTGAGAAGTTCTGGGGTAAGAGCTTATGTTACAAAAAATGACAGACAACAGAACTTCCTTTACACTAAAAGTTCAGGCTCTTAGGAGTATTTCATTCTGTTAGTGCAAAGATCATGCCTAAACCAGGCCAGACAGTGAGGACACCACCCTAGCTTTAAAAAGATCTCTGCCAAGTCTTTCTAAACTTAAATCTTCTACAACAACCCATTACAAAGCTTAACCACACACTCCATTCATCTGAGTGATTTTGTGTGTGTCTCTACAAAAAGCAGTGATTAGCTGTGGGATTCTGTTGTACAGGCTGAAACAGTAAAGGGGGATTTAAAGACTGAAAACTGGTGAGCTGACAGTTGCTACTGGAATATGTGGATTTTAAGCTTTATAATTACACTTTCTATTATAACATGGTATAAAGTGATGAAGGAAATAATGTTTCTAAAATGTTTTACCTTAAGAGATAATACCAATGTGGTCAAATTATATCAAAAACAATCCAGGAAAAGCTCTATTCTTTTTCTTAACCCGTTCCATTGTTCAGTATTGGACTAGCCAAATGCTAAAGACTAAAAATGAAAGAAACTCCCAACATTTTCAAGTGTGAAGAAATTCTCAGTCAGTATCAGATTCATCAAAGTCACTTCAGTGATAGATTTTCATAGAGCTAAAAAGGGAAATTACAATAACTACCAATAATTCAATAGTTTCACTAGCAGTGGGAAAACTCATTAGGATATTTACCCTTTAAAATAAAAATCCTCCTCTCTGAAATTTGCTAACTGATTATATTAAGAATGAGAATCTTGTATTTTGTGATGGATAAGTGATACTACAAACACAGATTCTCCCATAGTCTATTGGGTACTTCTTCAAAATGGTCTTTTTCCTTGGTTGGTAATGATATGTTGGTTCATTAAAACCTTCTCTACACTATTGACGAATGGCTCAAGAACATGTGGTACCTACATACAATGGAATTTTATGCAGCCACGAAGAAGAACAAAATGTTATCATTTGCTGGTAAATGGATGGAACTGGAGAACATCATTCTAAGTGAGGTTAGCCTGGCCCAAAAGATCAAAAATCGTATGTTCTCTCTCATATGTGGACATTAGATCAAGGGCAAACACAAGGGGATTGGACTTTGAGCACATGATAAAAGCGAGGGCACACAAGGGAGGGGTGAGGATAGGTAAGACACCTAAAAAATTAGCTAGCATTTGTTGCCCTTAACACAGAGAAACTAAAGCAGATACCGTAAAAGAAACTGAGGCCAATAGGAAAAGGGGACCAGGAACTAGAAAAAAGGTTAGATCAAAAAGAATTAACCGAGAAGGTAACACATACACACAGGAAATTAATGTGAGTCAACTCCCTGTATAGCTATCCTTATCTCAGCTAACA